CTGTAATCTCAGTGCTTAAGAGGCTGAGGCAGGAGGATTGCTTCGAGTTTGAGACCAGTGAACTACGTAGTGAAACCCTGTCTCAAAAAATATATATAGAAGCCGGGCATGGTGTCACATGCTTGTAATACCAGCACTTGGGAGACTGAGGCAGGAGGATCTTTGTGAGTTCGAGACCGGCCTGGGCTTCAAAGTGAGCTCGACGCCAGCCTGAACTGCATAGCGAGACCCTGTCTCAAAAAGAAAAAGAAAACAAAGTGAGTTCACGACCAGCCTGAATAGTGAGACCCTCTCTCACACACACATATGTATATAGTATAAATGGTAAGTAAATATATGAAGAAATTATTAGTACATGTACTAAACATTGCTGGCCCTTAGAGAAATACAGATTAAAACAACACTGAGATCCCATCTTATCCAAAAAATTGCTGTCAATAAATCAACAACAAATGCTAGTGAGGCTATGGGGACAAAGGAACCCCCTCTGTTGTTGGTGGGAATGGAAACTAGTACAGCCACCATGGAAATCAATACGGGGGACCCTCAAAACTAAAGCTACAAATTCCATTTGACCTAGCTATTCCCCCTCTAGGTTTCTTCACAGAAGAGTTAAAGCCATGATACTACAGTGACTGCATTCCCATGTTTATAGCAGCACAATTCATTACTGCTAAATCTTAGAAGCAGCCCATATGTCCATCAACAGGTGAGTGGATAAAAAGAATGTGCCGGGCGTGGTGGTGCAGGCCTGTAATCCCAGCACTGGGGCGGCTGAGGTGCAGGATTGCTTGGAGTTCGAGATCAGCCTGGGCTACATAGTTTAAGGCCAGCTGAACGGCAGAGGCAGGAGTATCGCTGTGAGTTCAAGGCCAGCTTGGGCTACAAGGTGAGTTTAAGGCCAGCCTGAACTGCATAGCGAGACCTTGTCTCAAAAAGGCAAAAAATAAAAATAAAAAAATAAAAATGCAGGTAGGAGAGGGAGAGGAGGAAAGGGGGATGGAAAAAGGAACTCAGGTGTGTGATACACATGTAGCAATCCCACACGAGGAAGTACATACATGCTGCAGAGATGTGCTAATAAAAAAGGAATATAAAGCATTAGCTTGGCATGGCTATGCATGCCTGAACCCCAGAATTCTGGGAGGCTGAGGCAGGAGGCTTATGAGTTCAAGCCCAGCCTGGGTAATTTAGCGAATCTCTCCCTCAAGGGTAGGCGGGGCAGTGGCTGGGGATAGCTCAGTGCAAAGGAATGCTGTGGTTTAATCCCCAGTACCACTACATAAGAAAGAGAGTTAATGAACTTCCTGGCTATGTGACAGACACCATGGGTATATAAGTACATATTCTTAGCAAGTGCACAGTAAGTTTTATGGGCCAAAGGAGCAGGGGCATGTGTAAGGCTGGCGTGTAGCTCAGTGGCAAAGCACATATTTAGGGTGTGCAAGACCC